TTCGGCCAGCCTCTGGAGCCAGCGCTGCTAGAGCCTCTCATAACCAAAGGAGTTTTTCTGGCAGCATATGACTATGAGCAGGCAGAAGATGAGGATGACCATGATGGCCAATAATACCGTGGCTGCTATCCAGTTGCTCCTCTGGAGCCCTACGACTCTCTGGGGAGTCTCTGAAGGAATCATGTTGGTGAGATTGAGCATGTAGCCAAGTGTCCAGCCCACGTCTACATTAGTGACCTGTGCAGAGAGAGAAGGAAGAGGGATGTGAAAGGCTGCACAGCACCATGCAAGCTGGAGAGTTAGAGAAGCCCTTTGCTGGTGCACCCTCAGGTCCTGCTCCACAGCCACTGTCTGTGCACACCTTGGGCTGCAGATATCCCGTTAGCGAGACAAGCCTGGGGAGAACATCAATGGCTCCAGCCAGATGTGTGAGTGTAACTCAAGAGCTGCTTAATCCATCCTCTGCACTGCCCACTTACACCCTGACCCCCCACCCAGGCAGGGGCAGGGGCAGGGGCAGGGGCAGGGGGGGCGCGAGCCCTTTCATGGGTGGGTGTGAGCCATTTCACAGCACAAAGCACAGAAGGTGGCGGCCGCTGGGTGCTTTCCTACCTGCTGGACAAAGTGGATGTTGAGCCATGTCTCGTGGTTGAATTTGTAGCCTTGCAGGAGAAGGGTGAGGGCGAAGGAGCTGGCTGCACAGGCATCACGGAGGTGGGTCCTGTTCACGGCCAGGAACTCCTTCTGCACCTGCAGAGGTGGAGGAGCAACGGGGGGCTGCCAGCATGGAGCAATGCTCGGTGCACCCCCAGCACAGCTGGGAGCAAAGACCTGAGAGCGCCTGGGTTTGGGGAGCAAGGAGGACCCAGGGAGCTGCAGGCTGCTCTCCCAGATCTCTCTCTGTCCAGAGATCTTCGTGATCCTCGCAGCAACCCCCAGCTGCCGCCTGAGCAGCAGAAGATGGGCTGCAGATGAGCCCTTAGGCTGCCCAGCGTCCGGGAGAGACGCAGGCAGGGGCTGGCATCTCCTAGGCGGGATCTCACCTTCTCCCAGCTGCTGCTGCAGAGTTGCCAGATGGTGGCATTGACTGAGATCAGGGACTGCCCTCCCGTCAGGTTCAGCAAGTGGAGGTCGTGATAAAGCCCTGAAAAGGCCTGTGGGTGGTGAAGACCAAAGGCAGCAGGTTAGTGAAGTGCCCAGGCCCCTGCCACCCCCCAGCCCTCCCTCTGGGTGCTCTGCAGGGGTCCCTAAGGCCACCTCTGATCAGCACCGTAGGGCGATACCTGCTGCCCCACGGGGAGGGAGCCCTGGCACTGCTGCCAACATGGAAAGAGGCTGGTGCTGGGACAATGGAGGCCAGGGTCTGTCTGGCACGCTGGCGAGCACCCTGTGTGTCTCCATGCATGGGGCACACCCCAGCTATTCAGATTTTTCTCCTACAGCAGTTTTCCCAGGATCTTGGCCAGCCTCTGGTGCCCCAAAACCCCACACCCCCACCACAGCCGTGAGACGGAGGCTCCTTACGAAGAACTGTCCCCGCACAGGGGGCTGATAAACCCTGTTGAACCCGCACGTCCTGTTGGCCCCACAGCTGAAGTCGAAGAGTTTTTGGATGGCGGTGCTGCACTCAGCTGGGTCCCCTGTCCCTGTCACCGTGAGGACCTGTGCAGGGCTGGGTGTGCTCGGTGCATGGACACAGGGACTGTCGTAGAGGTCTGCCGTGGTGACGTTCTCCTGGTATCCCTTGGGGTAGCAGGGGTGTGATATCTGCTGGGGCGTCGGGCTGCCCTGCAGGGAGTGGGAGCTGTTAGCATCATCCTGGCACTGAGGATGAGGATGGAGAAGATAGGAACAGCCCACAGACAGTGCCTGTTCCTACACCCGGATGCAGGACATGGGCACCCTGCCAGCATGCTGGCCCCACCACCCATGGGGCATTGTCCATGCCAGGCCAATGTCGTGCCATGGGGTGCAGGCACAGAATCATGGGGACAAGCACAGCACAGCCACACTGTGGTCAGGGATCAGCTACAGTGATGGCCACATGCCTGGGGCCTGGGGATTGGAGCCCTGTGCTGAGCGTGGACCCATTTTGTCACCACTCTTCCTTTGTAGGGTCACCAGACTCAGGGGGAGAGCCAAGGCTGAGAAGCAATTTAAGCAAAACCAAAATGGACACTGATCTCTCTGCAACATACTCTGGATGTGGTCTTTTCCCAAGTCTGACCAGTATGATCTGGTGCTGAGCCCTAGCCCCACAGCCAGGCTATGGACTCGAGCGTCTCCCCATGCAGCAGCAACACCTCCCTTTGCTCTCCCATGCCCAGCACCCGCTGCTGAAGACCAGTCTGTTCAGAGTTCTCCCCATAAAACCAACTTACTCACTACCAGACCAGTGCTTATAAATCCCATTGGGACTTCCCCAACCTCCCAGCACCCAGCAGGTTCCCTCCTCTGGGGCCTGGTCCTTCCAGTCCCCTGTGACTGAGCGGGGGCTGATACAGCCCCTCCATCAGGAAGGGGATGGAGATCTGGTGGGCACGACAGCCCTGGGACAGGGGCCCCAGGCACCCACCATCCTGGCAGAGCCCACAGTCAGGCATCCTGCTTTGGGGTGTCCATGTCCATCTCCGCTCAATCCTGCCCTGCTGTTGGAACACCCCTGGGGTGACTCCTGCCATGGTGGCCCCATCCTATCCACCATCCTCACCGGTGCTTGCACAAAGGCACTGAGCCCAGCGGCCATCACACCTGGCGGGTGCTGCCTGCCCAGCTCGATAAGATTGTGGTCAGGCGGCAGTGGAGGAGCACACGGCTGGAAGTGGTTACCTGGTGTAAGGATGCCATCAGCATCTTCAGGGCTTGCTTTTGTCCATAGCAGAGGTAGCTGTGGGTGTAAATGGAGTAGTTGGCCCCATACAGCCTGAGGAAGGTTCTCGTGCTGCTGTCATCTATGGTGGTCCCAGGAAGGAACGTGATCTGGGCTGAAGCCCCACCGAGGTCCAGAGCTCCAACCACATCCTCGGCCGGCAGGTGGGACCACTCGCCTGTGAAGGAGCGCTGCCCGGCACTGGGTGTCACCCACAGGGACATGGCACAGGGCAACCACAGAGGTATCGGCTTCCCACCCCAGACCACAGCACAGCAGCGAGGGGGGACCCATTCTGTCCTCTACCCAGCCCGCACCTTGATGAGTGTCTCCAGCAGGTAGTTGACGGTGAT